ACGTTCTATCGAAGTTCGACTGTATTAGCTTCAGAGTGAGCACCGTTTACGATCATGGCACGGGCGTCACACGTCGCTTCATCACTTTGTGCGAAGCTCGCGGTGAATGTATTCTACTCGAAGATGACTGGTCACGTTTAGACTTTCAAGGAAATGAGGTACTGTGAACATCAAAACTTTAACACAATCACGACGATACGGCTCACCGTACTAATGTACTAATGACTGTCGTACTAATGACTGTCGTACTAATGACTGTCGTACTAATGACTGTCGTACTAATGACTGTCGTACTAATGACTGTCGTACTAATGACTGTCGTACTAATGACTGTCGTACTAATGACTGTCGTACTAATGACTGTCGTACTAATGACTGTCGTACTAATGACTGTCGTACTAATGACTGTCGTACTAATGACTGTCGTACTAATGACTGTCGTACTAATGACTGTCGTACTAATGACTGTCGTACTAATGACTGTCGTACTAATGACTGTCGTACTAATGACTGTCGTACTAATGACTGTCGTACTAATGACTGTCGTACTAATGACTGTCGTACTAATGACTGTCGACTGACTGACTTGTTTATCTTTGAATTTTCACCATCAGTAAAACAGTAACGAGTACGCGACTGTACGCAAAATACTATCGTCGTGAATGTATCAAAACTGTAAGTAGATTAACATTTTGTATTATAAAGACTCAAACTGAGCGTCGAAATTAGACGAAAATTGAATTGGGCAAAAGGTTATGGTGTTAAAAGATGACGATAGTTTTATCAAAACCTTCTTTCAACTCTAGTTTCAACTTTTCTCTAAATCGTGCATTTAGGTGCTGAAAATCGAGAATCTTGACCGAAAACCCCTGGGGGAAATTTGCGGTTATGCTCGAGTCGATTACAAACTCCAGACGCGCAAAGATACAAAGATTGAGGCGCTGGCGTCTGTTCCATCCACAACCTACCAGCCGAGTTATCCGTGAGTGCTATTAGTCATTCAAGTTCATACAATCCAAGTACTTTAGCTCATAACTTTTATAGATTTATCGAATTTGAATCTAGTTTTGTTATCATTCACTTTCTCGAAAGTCTTTTTTTCAGAACAATCATTGTCCGCTTTCTCGAAGTTGATCCAAGATTTAAACCAGCACCGAAATCAGGAACTGAAGAAAAGGCAAAAAATTTGAATCGATCAAAATTCAAAAACCGATTCTAGCCTCATCTCGTCCAAGATGTGAATGGCGATGATTCGGTGTATACTTTAAGAGAGTTTCGTAATGTTAATGGAGATGGTCATGAATTGTCCTATGATAGGTCAAAGGTATACGCTGTAGGTAAAGCAACTAACTGGTTCTTTAAGATCTACAAACTCTATAATGTGAAAATATATCAAGACGAACATCTTATCCATTTCTCTCATTACGGACTCAGCGAAGCAGGTGGTGATGGTGAATTTTTGATTCAACTGCAAGTAGTCCTAACTTGAATATTTTCAGATTCATTCCATTTTTCCAATTCTAAAGTCCCAAAGGCTCCTTTGATTCCTTTTCCGATAGATTACAAATTACTCTCCGAAGACGAGAATTTCCAGCGATAATCGATTCATGAATTCATAAAAAAAGTCAATTTTTTATGCAAATGTTATAGATGTAAAGTAAAAAACAGTGTGCCAATAAAGATTGACAGAGAAATTCGTATCCCATCAAATCCGAACTCGAAAAAATGTTTCATTTAATACAAAAGTTCTGGGTGGCTAAGATGTTCAATGTCAACTCCTCTTGCCAATTCCACGAAGGGCATGCTCGAAAACACGGAGGCATTGAACTTGTTGTGAGCGTCCATTGAACGTCGCTGGTGTTCCTAAAAAAAGTGATTTAACCAAGGTTTTCTCATTAGAATCTCTTTTCACCCTTTGCAATGAGGCTTAAAAGATATAGTATATAAAGCCAAAGCCAAACTCACTTTCAACAAACAGAAAAACGCTGCCGGTTGATAGTCAATGTAGAGCTTGTGAGCAACAAGTTCAGGTCTAAAATAATAATTAAAAAGATTGAACCAAACTTGAGTAACCTCTTTAATAAATTTGGAACATCACCAACACCATATACGCATGAGCTATGGGTCATTTTTCCTAAAAAAAAGCGATTTGAGAGAAAAATGTCGAACAAATGTTTACCATGACAGAGTTCTTCGTCTTTATCGTTCCGCCAAATCTAAATATGAGAAAATAATTAGCGTCCGGAGAACAAACTTGAAAACGTCCAAGCCAATAACGGACCGGCACATCGCGACTTGTAGCTGCAATTATCCCTAAAATGCATGATTTTTAAAGTGCCATCTCTTTCAACCTTCTATTTTCTAAAGTTTTATACTCACCATTTGATTTTGTTATTTTCACGTTAATGTTCATTCTCGGATACTTCCTTTGCTTCAAATTTGTTTCGCTCTGCCTTTTCGATTTTTTCCGTAAAATCAAACGAGCGTCAAATCCACCTGGTATCGGAAGTCCTAAATTGATCCAAATCTTAAATTAAAGAAAATGGTCTAACTGCGCATGTTGCCAAAGATCGTCGGCCAAAGTAGCTCGTCTGAGGCAATTGGCGATACATTCAGCCATCTGATCACCGCTGTGGTAATTGCCTAAAAAAATTTTTGAATTCATTTATATTGAAATTCCTTTAGAATACTTACGCTGTGTTCCTTTGTTACAGCATTCATTGCAGCTCTCGGCACCAAGGCTGACATTGATGCTTTGTAAATCCGAAGTGGCGTCAATTCTCCTCGGCTCTAAAACATTTAATAAATATAGTAATTGTAAATCTGGTGAGAGTAAATTTATCGCGTTAAAACTAAGGTTAGGAACCGTAATCTATCTGGCTTGCATTTCATGTTTTTAAGTTTGCGGCTACGGGATAAGCAAGCAGGCCTAGAGCCGCATTTAGAGTTAAAATTTGGTATCCAAATACACTAAAGACCAACATTTCTGGTTTGGTGCGGCGGCTCCACCACTTCCACATTCACCGTCTGATTTAAAGCCCTGAAGATTCGAACCATCTCCAGATTCGTCTTCAGCGGTACATCAAAGCCAGATAAGTACTAAAAGTACAAATTGCGTTTAAAAAAAGTTAAGCTTACGTACCTGATAGTACTTCCAGGGATGTTCTTGTTTTGCTAGATATTCAGCACAGCCATACATTGATGTCAAAATTTCGTGTCCTCCCCAGCCGATTGACCTATTCGAAGTCTAAAAGGAAGCGACAATAAGCGAAAGAGAAGCTGAACCAACCACAACATGAATGTTGTCAAAACAAGAAGACAATCCGTGAATGGTCTCATTGAAAAGGGCATGTGAATCACGATCCACCACTATGCAATAGAGATTCTGTGGTTGGTAAAAAGCAGAGAACATAAAGAGAAACTAAAAAATTATTACATAAGACCACCTGTTAAAAAAACCTGTGCTAAATTTTTGTAGATAATCATCCCGTAAGCAAGCGGAAAGTTGAGTTCTTCAACTGATGCAGCGTCCAGTGGAAAATGAAACCATTTCTTTATGTGTGAACATTTAAAAGTAAATCATTAAACTTCAATAAGATGTCTTCAACAAACCTCGCCTCTCCAGGAGATGTTGCGTAAATTGCCATTTCTCTGTCGGCGTGGTCGTACTTCCACGAAGCCCATTTTGCCAAAGTCGGATTGTCCAGTTCGCTGATATTTACTAGATTCAAAAAAAATGTATTATCTCTAGCAAAAGAATACCGCCGTTGATCGCGTCACAATCAATGGAGATTCGATCAAGTAGAAACGTTGATTGATTCCATGAGGCTCTAAAAATTGATCCATTAAACTGAAATTGAAAGAAAAATTGACAACTTCTCTCATAGAAAGTTTCTTTACTTAGGTTTTAAGGTACTTTTTTACTTTGTTCCCCCAAAAGTCAGAAATTTTCAAAAATTTGTCAATCATTCGGACAAAGAACATCCAGAACAAAGAATATTGTCGATCCAATCAAAGGAGCATGTACGAATACGATTGAAGGAATGTGGCAGAAGTTTAAAGCTCGACATAAAGAATATGCAGACTTTTCACTTCACTTTTCGCTTAAACATCTTGAATCACATGAATTCAACAATTCATGTGATTCAAGATGTCTAAGGACGACGATACCTTCTACAACTTTTGGATGCAAGCGAGATAAGATTATTCATTGGAATAAGTATATTATTGTGCTTCAAGATAATACCGTAAATACTGTAATTCAACGGCACCCCCTAATTGAACGCAGTCGCGTAGTCTAACTTCTTTTTAGAAAATCGTTTTTTCTCAGCTCCTAGATTTTTCTCAAATACACTTTTGGTATCAAAAAATAGTAGATTTCAAGGGCTATCATTTGACACCCAAGCGCATACTGTAGCATAAAGCAGCGTGGAGAACGGAGCGTGTAAAGCTAGACTACGCGGCAATACCCGTCGTTATGGGGCTGCCGTTCTATTAGAGTCTTTACGGTATTTTACGAGTATTCACAAAATTTGTAATCTAATTTCGTAAATTTGCATCTAAAGCAGTCAACAATTTTGCCTGGTGTTTGGGGTGGGGGACAAAGTAAAAAAAGCACCGTTTTTACGTTAAACTAAGCAAAACATTGAGGCTTACATGAGAATGAGATGGCAGATAACACATGCGACGAGAAGAAACGCCGTAGAAAGCAGTAGCTTTGCCAATCGATGTAGTCGACCCTAAAATAAAGCCATTAAATAAAAAATGCAAGTTAGAAAAGAAAAAAGAAGCTTAAGAAAGCAGAAAAGTACCAACCATTCCGGGCGTTTCGAAAAATGATTTAATTTTTGGCAAAGTTGGTTTTATGTTGTTTTAGTTTTAAGTTTAAAAGTTTAAATTTTAAATGCAAATTTGCGTGAGTGCCATGTAAATCAAGGCAAAAGAATAGACAAATTTGCAATTGCACAAAAACATTCATTCACGACGCGCAACATTCATTCATGCTTAAAATTTCATCGCTTCAATACTTTCTGTTACTCTTCTACGCAAGCCTCACAGTAACACATCGAGTCGCGTATAATGGTGTCTTATTTCGTGAGTTTTAAGAAATTTTAGTGCTTTGGTGGTTGGGAGGGGCCACTTTTAGCTTGCCTTCTCAAATCTAGTGTTTTGAGCGGTTTGTGTCGATACTTTTCTTCTATTCCGGGGTAATTATCTATGCTAAAGCGATTGGTGCTAATTTTAGAGTATTTTCAACATGTTTCAAGTTAGTATTGCAGAGTTCTAAGTGTAGCTTTGAGCTTTGAGATAGCGTTCGGTGGTTCGGTGGCTAGAACACAGGGTAAATCATCGAATAGGATTATCAAAAGCATGCTTAAATTAGCACCAATCGCTTTAGCATATATTTCTTTCTTCAGAATAGAGGAAAAGTATCGACACGAACCGCTCAAAACATTAGATTCGATAAAGCAAGCCAAAAGTGACCCCTCCGAACCGCCAAAATACCAAAGTTTTACTAGGTTTCTGCTCAACTTTTAACATTTAATAGACAATATTGCCTACAAATTGGTTCTGCGCCATTTGCGGAACTACTAAACGAAAGAAGCTGCCAGAATTGAACTCTAGAATCTAGAAGTAGAGCTAGAAGTAGAAGTAGAAGTAGAAGTAGAAGTAGAACTAGAACTAGAACTAGAGCTAGAAGTAGAACTAGAACTAGAACTAGAACTAGAACAAAATCTCTAATCTAAAGTCTAGATTAAAGATTTTGTTCTCTGTCTGGCTTAAGTTAAAGTTTGGCATTGTAAACTGAACTGATTTTCTATTAGAATGAAACTTAAGAAATAATCTCCCCATTCTTTAGAAACAATCTTTCGCAGTTTTTCATATTCAATCGAACTACTTTTTTTTAAAGTTATATTTTTCATTATTTTAATTTAGACGAGTCATCAGATGCGACGATTGTGAGCGACGAGTACATTTACGTGCCAATCGGGCACTCCGTTGAGCTTCCATGCGTGGCCCGAGAAAAGACTCACCAAATGCACATCGATTATAAAAAGGTGAAAGTTTGACTTATATGTTTAAATGCTTATTGTGTTGATATGTAAGAAAGACAGCTTATAAAAGAGTAAAAGCAGCAAAATCAATTATTAAAGCACATGTTTCTAGTTCTAATAAAGTTCAGGGAAGCACTTTGATCTGATTTGGTCAGAACCAATTTTACGCGTGTTTTTTCTAGTCTGCTTTTGCATTTTCTGTGGTAATCAAATACGCTTAATCCATTGGTGATATTTTTAGAGTGTTTTGAATAGTTTTCACTTTGCATTTCATCCCTGGCCTCATTTTCTTGCCTTGCGGCACTGCAACATTTATACTTCAACTAGCTCAACAAAACATGAACAAAGATTATTCAAAACTTTCTAAAAATATCGCCAATAGATCCAGCATGCTTGATTACCCCGGAAAAAATAAAATAACATTGATAAAACTGTCGAAAAATACGATCTGATAAAATCAAATCAAAGTGCGCCTCGCCCCGAATTTTATTAGTACCCTTGTTTCTTAATAACTCCATACTTTGTGTATTCTTGGGTAAATATTTTACCTTACTATTCCTTTTTACAGGCCGACTGGCGATACTACACACGATATGGAAGAAAGATGACAAGCTCTTACGGGATACGCTACGATAAAAGGTGGTACTTTTGCAATTATTGCAACTAGTCGACTTTAGAATCGATCGCTTTCACTTCAATGACACAACCTCTTTCCTGTCGGCGCGTTTCCTCCAGGCCATTCATAACAACACAATGCTCGAGTGTTGGATACCTATCGGTTATCAAGAGGTTTGTTTGCTGGATTTCGTCGTAACACATAAAAATCTAATGATTTTTTATTCAGCCTGTCCGCTATGTTGTATCACGTTTCCGAATCATTATTCAAGATTGCGGTGTTGAAGACAATGTATTTCTTAATCTCATGAATCCGTAAGTTCTTTTTTTAATAGTTCATCGTTGGATTTAAACCCTAGTTGTGCTTTTGGTAAGTGCTCTGTGCGAAATTTGACGAAGGGCCTTCATGATAATGTGCGGTTGCTCGAATGCCATTGTCTTCAACATTACACTGGAATATTTTGTCAACGTGAGTTACTGTTTTATTTCCAAATGGTTGGAATACTTTTAAGAAGCAATACTTCATTACTTGGAATACTTCTATAACAATATAATTATGATATCTGTTTTTATCTAAATAAACAAGTGCTTTTAGAAGAAGTTGGAAACGCGTTTGCTTATCTGTTTGGCTGTTATTCCTACAATCTCATTTGGATCTTCACCTTCCTTGGATTTTTGGTTTCAAATCGTTTTCCGTAAGTCTTAAAAATCAATCGCTTTCTTTAATGCATCTTTAGAAAAACTCGCGTAGCTCTCAAAGGACATCCATTGCGAAAAACGGAGGACAACAACAAAAATGTTATCGATGAAAAGAGAAGCAAAAGTTCTTGTTAAGTGTTTTATTTAATATTTATCGCACCATTTATTGAACCTAAGCAAAAGTTTAATGAATAAAGAGTAATCATAAAGAATCTTCATCCAGATTTCGAGCAGAAAGAGTGCGTGGTTCTAAGGGTGTAGGGCTAGGGTGATCGGCTTGTTCACTGAAATTGTTAGATTACTTGTTTCAAGAGATTTTTCCTTACCCAGGCATTTCAATGGGCTGGACCATAATATTTGGTGTCTCCGAACGAAAGATTTGATAGTCCTAACAATAAATAAGGTTTGAGAGTGTTTTTTAGAAACTTACAGGAGCCAGCCCTTCATGTGGTGTACCATTAGCTTTTTCATCGGCCGAAATGCGTCTTGCAAAGCAAGTTTCCCGTTTGGACGTCTTCGCAAACTGAATTTTAGTATTAAAAGTCATTTTGATACAAATTTCGGTCAAGATACCAATTATTTAAAGTTATTTAATTTAATTTAAAGTTTATTCACCTGTCCATTCCCATTTTTCAATTGCCAAACTTCGGGCTTCGTTGCTGGCCGAATGTTGAAAATAGTCTCGAGGAAAGCCCGTCTAAATTCTTTTAGGTAACATCTTGAGTAGGTAGATATAATTTTCAGCAAAAAGTTACCGCAATCCAGCCGTAAATGATTTAAAGATAAGTTTATCTAATGCTCAAGTTCATAATAACATCATCATGATAGTAAAATCACTTATTGTACCACCTGTAAGATTTCAAGCAGCAAATCGTCGCCACCGCATCAATCGTGGGACTCCACGTGATCGCATAATGAACAATATTCATTGAAGACCAGTCGTATTCTAGATTACCGGTTATTCTTTATTATAATTCAAGAATAGGTTTTGTAAATGATTGATTTGTAAATGATTGTGGTTCAAGAACAGCCTTAGGTCAAACATTTTCTAAAAACTATCACAACTCGACTGTCTTTTTCAATTAAATTTCAAATTCAAAAAGGCAATTGTGTTACGGTAGTTTTTTTTTTCTTGACACACTTTTTAGAAAACGGTTTAAGTGACGGCAATCGATTAAGAACTCACCAAAATCCTTGACATTCGGACTGTCAACAACGAGAGTCACCGAGAAAAGTGGAAGATAAGTGACAATGGGTGCAACTGACTGAAATTGTTTATTAGCCAGCAGAGCTACAGTAAACTAGGCTACGTATTCCCAAAGTTGACACTAATTTTACTTCTAACCTAGTGTTTAATCAAGCCCCTTTTCACCTGTATGATAATAGCCACCAAAATGCTTCTTTGTCTCGAGATAACCTGCTGGGAAACCGAATTTCGAACACATTTTTGACTCGAGCGAACGAAAAAGAAGAGCTTCACAACGCAGAACTGAAAACGGGGGAATTTTTGTGTTTATAGTTGTTTTTCGATTCTAATAACTCATTTCCGCTTGTGTCTGGGTTTAAAAAGCATTTTTGACCTTTTTTTTGCAATTGTTTTAAACCCGTTTGGCCCAGCTACAGTTATCAGTTTTTGAAAGTTGACACGTTTTAGAAAACGCAGTTAAGTTGAGGGTTACTGTAGGTTTGCAATGCTCAATCTCGTGCATGACGCTAGTTCTGTGGACAAACGAATCCCGGATTTTCATTAGTTTAACAGTAACAGCTGTAATAGTAATATAAAGATTCTCCTATTTACCAAAGTGATCGGATAGGAGATAATCGGATACGAGAGAAGACTTATTGTCATCAATGTGTCCCCGTCTTTCACGAAATTCGCTCCCAACCAACAAATCGTTTCCACGTTTCGCTCATCCAAACTGAAATTCTGTTTTTACCACTTTTGGATGCTTTACGGTCGAGCGATTATCGGGCGGGGTGGGCGAGTTTTTGACCATTTTGCAGCCAGATTTTAAAGAGGTTTTTGTTAATAACTTTTGATAAAACAAATAGTTTCTGAAAGCTGACGTTCTAAGCTATCCAAATCTTATTAAAACTTTTTGATTTGATGAGTTTAAGGTGCTTAAAAGTGAGCTGCAAGTTGGAGAAAAAACTTGGCGATAATCGCCTCCCCCCCCACGATAATCGCTCGATCTCCTCCTCCTCCTCTTCCTCCCCCTCCTCCTCCTCCTCTTCCTCCTCCTCCCTCTTCCTCCTCTTCCTCCTCCTCTTCCTCCTTCTCTTCCTCTTCCTCCTCCTCTTCCTCTTCCTCCTCCCTCCTCCTCTTCCCTTCCTCCTCCCCCTCTCTTCCTCCTCTTCCTCCTCCTCTTCCTCCTCTTCCTCCTCTTCTTCCTCCTCTTCCTCCTCTTCCTTCTCCTCTTCCTCCTCTTCCTTCTCCTCTTCCTCCTTAGCTTCCTCCTCCTCTTCCTCTTCCTCCTCCTCCTCTTCCTCTTCCTCCTCCTCTCCCGATAATCACTCGACCCCCCCTCCCCTTAACCGTAAAGATCCAAATTTTGTTCAAAAACTCTTCTACAATAAGACATCAAAAACTTCTCTGCCAATATTTTCGAATCTTTTCGAATCTTTTCTATTTTTTCAAAACTTTTCATAGATAATTACTTTACTAGTTATTTTAAGCGCTTCTCTCGTCGCCATGGACTGTGTAATTAAGAAAAAAGTGATTTTCGAAAGAAATCTCCGAGATGTAGTCTAAATCGCTTGGTTTTTGAGCCTTACAAAACCAAATCGTTTATGATTTTAGAAGTTTAACAAAGAAAAAGTCTAAAATGTTGTGGAAAAGAATATTCTTGAAAGCTTGGGCATACTGTAATTGGGTCACTGAAAAGAATTCGGAATAGATTTCACCTAAAGAAATCTATCAAGATCTTTACGATCTTTACGAAATCTATTAAAGTTATAAAAATTGCTCAATTTACAAAAACTGACATACTCAATTCTCTTTTTTTTAAAGGTTTTTGGTCCATTTAAGGGTTTTTGGTAGAGTTCGGCAAACAAAACCGAAACCAAAACAGACCAAAACCAAAACCAAAACTCAATTTGCATATAAATTAACATGTAAATTTAAAATTGTAAAATGCAAATTTTAATGTAAAATGCAAATTTGCCTTTCAATTTTTCTCACTCCACAAAATCTCGCGGCCGAAAAAAGGACCAAAACACGACCTCGAAATTTCGAAACAAAAAATAGCCTATGGGATAGATTTTTGGACGCTGATTTCAAATCTGCAAACAGATTTTCGCTAGCTCCTCCCAGTCGCGAGATATTGGCGGGTTTTGGTTAGTTTTGGTTTTGGTTTGTTTTGGTTTTGGTTTTGGACTGTTTTGGTTTTGGTGGTTTTGGTTTTGGTCAAGTTTTGTTTTCCGAAGTCTAGTTTTTAGTCCATTTAACGGTTTTCCGCATGGTCAAGGCCTCGGTTTTCTTCATAAATCTTTAAAGGCCAAAAAAACGAAAGTCTATTTCTGAATAAGGATTCGAAAATGTTTTTTGGGTGTAAGTTGTTTGGGTTTAAGATTTGATATTTCAAAGATTTCCTCATTCAACTGACCCTTGAAGATCCGAATAAACATCGTAGATGTCCCAAATCGTTGTCATATCGATAGCTCGAGCAATGAAAAACACAAAAAGTGGCACGAAATTCGGGATCAACGCTGAAAAGAGATAAAGAGTTTGTTTCTCTCAAATAATGCATTAGAAAACGTGTAAACTTTCGGAAACTATCGTAATCTTGTCTCTTTTATCCAAGCCACGGTATTTCTTCGAATAGAAGGCCGGGTAAAGAGTATCATCGCGTACTCCTGCGTAGCAGCCCTTTTTAAAATTTCTTTTCTGCATAAAAGCTTTCAATGAAGTGCTGGCTGGCTGGCTGGCTGGAAAATGACTCAAAAATACCACATGAGCTAACAGATTTTTGAGCCATTTTCCAGCTCTATAGCACTTCATTGAAAGCTGCAGGAAAGAAATTTTAAAAAGGGCTGCTACGCAGGAGTACGCGATGATACTCTTTACCCGGTCTTCTATTCGAAGAAATACGGTATTTACTTTTTTGTTTGATTTTTTTGATGGTTTACAAAGGATATTGAACAAAAAGTGGATATATTGAATAAAAATAGAAAAGATTACGGTAGAAAGAGAAGGGAGAGCGGTTTAGAAAGCAACAAGCAACAAAGCAACAGCAAAAGCTCAACAATTTCCCATTTTTCTTACCTATAATAATCCAAGCTTTTCCGGAGACTTTCGTTCCTTTCCAGCAAACGTGCACAAAACGATTCAACGGCACGATGCAAATCGAGAGTAAATTTGCGTGCGTTTGCCGGGTGTACAACGTGTTGAAAATGATCGAACAGGGGACTGAAATTTTTGATTTCAAGATTGTCAGTAAGCCGTCTAGCAAACAAAAAGCCGACACTTTAGAAGAAACAAAAGCTGTTTGCTAAAATGCGGCTCATTTCTACTTTACAGGATCCTCTACCAAGTACAGTAACCTCTACCTCTACCAAGCAATGCCATCAATGGGTTAGCCGTCGTGATCAATGAGTATTCATATTTTGAGCCATATTTGAGTACATGCGGCATGACGAGCAGGAGACCAATCGAGAGGATACAGTTTGAGACGGAGCAACCAAAGAACACCCATTTGTACTCACCTCTAAACTCAGTAATTCACTTAGTAATACTTGGCTTTTGCTTGTACTTTGATCAGTCACTTGTAAACGCATCCTTTCTGATGCACTGGATATTTTTTTCTACAGTATCAAACTGTTTTTTGTAAGAATTGGAAGAAGATTGTGGGACATTTGAAACGCCATTAGCCAACTTTGAGCTCAAATTTCTTGGTGTTGGGCTGTTCAATTTAAATAGTTTTCGTATCAATCGACAGAAAAAGACTTGGCGCATCTAATGATATCAAGAAGATTTAAATCGAACAGCCCAACACCAAGAAATTTGAGCTCAAATTTAGATCGCTGATGGAAAAAGGGGCGGAGCTCGTATCAAATGTCCGATAGTCTTCAAGAAACGCGAGACTAAATTGAACTTTACGGTTCAAAAAGGTAAAACTTGAACGAATTTTTAAACTAAATAATAAAGCTTTAAACTAAATAATAAAGCTTTAAACTAAATAATAAAGCTTTAAACTAATAAAGCATAAAAACTAATTTTTATTTTCGCGCGACGTCGCATTCCAAATGACGTCGCCGCCATTTGGAGGTAGTCGATGGGAGCGTCGCGTCGTCATTTCTTTTTCGTGAAATCATTTGTTTCTTCGTCGTTTCTTTTTCGTTTTCAAATCATTTATTTTTCTCAGATTAATTGAAAGTATTGTTTTACGCGATAAATTTTGCGTTGAAATGAGAAAGCAATCTATTGGATTGGTCAATAAGTAATGAGTCACATGTAAGAAAGGAAATCTTTGTAAAGTTCAATTTAGCCGAATGCGAATTTGTGAGAATTGACAAGTTTTAGGTACTTATTGATTGGATCAATAAGCACTCTGCCAGAAATGGTGCATTTCGAGCACAAAGTACACTCTTATAGTCCAGCGCCAGTCACAAACCTGGTGCTCGCCCGCAAACTGACTACCAAAATGAACCCGTTGAGAAAAAGTGAAATCAGACAAGTGACCAAGTAATAAATCGACGCGAACATCTCGAACATCGGGCAGAAGAAGTGAGCAATTGAAGACAAAAGGTAAAGACTGTCAAATAAATTTCAGCGAAGACATTTCATAAAAGTTGAGAGGGGAGTGAATAGGCGAGAGAAGATTCATTTACGTCAATCCACCGCCAATAATTACAGGAATGAAACTGGCAATTTGTGTATCGCCAAAAGAGTTATTTTACGAAAAAGAGGAGCTCCTATGGGAAATTAAAAACGGAAAAATTACTGGGGAAACGATCAAAAAGGGGAAAAGGAGGGTGGGGACTTTGTGACTGGTTTTTGAAAATCTTTCACTTTGTTTTAACATTCTATCTACATCAAAAACGCTTTGAGTTGTGAGAAAACGGAGGGTAGACAAATCGTCTGCTCAAAAATTCCCTTGTTCCAAGAAAGTTTGTGCGTTTAGTAGTTTAAGTTTAACGAGAAAAATCATACAAAGAATCATGACAAAAATTCATTTCGAAGATTTCTCATCACATGAATGAATCTTTCCCGTCAGATCGATCGCAAGGTAGATGTTCGACTCGTGAATGGGCAACTAAACAATAAAAATTTAGCCAAGATGTATTCGAATTTCAATGTTTTACATTATTTTGCTACATAGCACGTTCATGCCAAAAAGCAATTAACGCATTTGTCTTAAAAATCTAATCTATTAGATTGGCAACTTGAAAGTTGGTACACTTTTTCGTATTTTCCATAAAACATATTTAATACGCCAATTGAATTAGACTTCTCGGCTCTTGCGTAGTTTCCGGGTACTTTGAAAGGATCCGGGCATTTTAAACGACTCGTCACGCTTTGAAGGCCTATAATTTTGTCCAGAGATAATATCTTTGTTAACTCTTTATATCATTGGACAAAGGACATTTCAGGCTTTCAAATGATACTAAATAGAGCTTGATTGGATCATCAAGTCGAAGGAAATCAGAGCCAACTCTGAGCCAATAAGGCCTATCCAACTCGGGTGTCGTGTCGCCTAGTTTGCATGGAAATAAAAAATCCAATCAATCTCTATTTAGTATGATCTCTGGACAAAATTATAGGCCTTCAAATCGGGACCACCCGTTCAAAATACCCGGAAACTACGCAAGAGACGACTTCTCTAAATAAAAGTTATATATTATCTAATTTAAGACATGCTTAAGCAAATTTGGGTAACTTTTGAAACGAATTTGAGCAGAAATTCAGGTTTTTCTGAAAATTCTTCAAATGGAACTATAACAAAAATGATTGATTAGATCTAGCTGAAAATTTGGCTATTTATCTAACTTGTTATGCTCTCTCTTTTTTATTGACACTAAAATAGGTTTATGTGGAAGAAAGTGCTCAAATCGCTTTATCGAGTGTTCATCATTTTTAGTTCCTCAACTTCTTGCCCCCTAGAAACCTACAAAACCAACGCTTTTCTAAATCTGTAAAAAGCCTGTTTTAGAGAATAAATGGGCCTTTTTTATTGGTAAAAACTGTAGATTAGTTGATTTACTAGTTATTTCTAAAAAGTGCAATGAATAAGTATACCAACTTTAAAGGTGCCTAATAATAAGAATTGTACCTCATCGAGACGCTTCTTCTGAAACTCTTTGAACGGCGTGCTGAACGACAACTCAAACTTTTTCTCGATGCGCCTCATCACAAAAAGACGACCACTAAATGATTCATCAAAAGCTAAATGCTTCAAATTGACAACCAACCGTTTAACCATAGGATCCCCCAATTGATCGACAATTTCTTTAATTGTGGTAGAAGGAATTCCTGGGATCTGAAATTAAAAAGATAAGATTTGTCAACGAAAAGAGTAAAAATTTCCCCCACCGCAATGTGCTTGATCTTCAAACTGTCTCGCGGTCCATGATCTATGACGGCCAAGCGAATTTGAATCGAAGGCTTAGGAGTTCGAGTCTAATAGTAAAAGCAAAACATTGCTAAAATGCCTTAAAAACTATCGTACCTGCCGCTTTTCGGATCCGGTAAGCGAGATGAGCTTCTTGATAGCTCGTTTCGTGTTTTCCTGAATCCCCGTGCGCACGTCCGCTTCAATCTCTTGCTTTGACAACATTTTTGTCAAAGCTCGACAACATGGATGCTAAAGGAAAATGTTAATACTTTTAATGTTTAGCTTAAAGAAGTTGTTTAGCTGTTTAGTTTCGCGTGTCTATAGCCAAACTTAAATCCTATTAATTGGCTAACAAAGTTTAAACAATATTACTTTTATATACGAGTGAAAAGCTGTCTTATACCAATTTACAAATTTTATCAACAATAGACTAAACTTTATAGATCTATAGCTTAAAAATAGCTTAAATTGGTTTTAATAGCTTGGTTTTTAATAGCTTGGTTTTCATAGCTTCAAAATAGCTTAAAAGGATAGATCTAAAGCTTAAAAATTGATTTTAACACAAGGCAATAATCACTCACAAGACGTTTCTTCGTTTGTTGCTGGGTGATCACGTATTCAGTGTAGAATTTCTTGCACAACTCGGACGGCAACCAGGTAAACGCACCGCGGTAGCAATCCCAATTCGAGCAGCCAGTTGAGCCTAAAATAAGCAAATCAATTTCCTAAAAAGTTCAATAGTAAGCCAAATATTTCGAAAACCTGACCATCGCTGTTAATGACAATTCCCGAGCACGCCTTGCACAAGTAATGATCGCAACGTCCGACATTCTAAAAACAAATAAAAAGAGTTGTTTACGAAAATTTACTATTAATTGAGAAGATTGATGAAAAAGTCCACAAGGACCATCACATTTCACACCGTCTAAATAAAAGAGTCATTAAAGAAACACAATAAACACGTCACTTTCAACGCGAAGCATCGAATGAGTTGAAATCGTGGAAGTAGCCGACGAAACGGCATCGTCGAGACTGCCGGGTGAAAGAGCTAAAATTGCACAATTGCAATTGCAATTATTAGAACTTTAGCTTGATTTAGCCAGGCTCAGGACAAACAGAGGCCAATAATTGATAGAGTTCTTAAAATTATGACAATCTTTAGGTTATAGAAGTGGGATAAAACAGCGTTTAATTTATCAAAGAAAGAAAAGCTTACCACTTTTCTGATTGTAGGGATCCGCTTGGGCTTTTTCTTCGTCGATCTTCTCCGTCCAGGTGAGCTCGTATTTAAAACGCGTTCTAAACAATGAAATATGCAAATGTAAAGCTTGTAAATAAACTAGTTTTAAAAATTTACTTACAAGTTAGATTTCTCGTTGTAATTGGCAGTGAGGGCGGCTTGAATGGGCGAGAAAACGAGCGTCCGAAGCACCGGTGGAACGTAAAGATTCGGCTGGTCGTTGTCTCGATTTGATCGCGATTGCCTAAAAATATTCATAATAGACATGTTTATCGGTCAAGTTAGTGCAAGATCGAAATATAAGCATAAGCAGAATATAAGCAGAACATTCTAGTAAAGATAATATTCTAGTATTCTATTAGGGTGGTGCAAAAGAAACTGCCGATTTGACGGTAAATTAAAAAAAAGATGGCGTCCGATGGTGGCATGATCACAATGGAATATTTTCGCAAGATCTCGAGCAGATTGGCATGGATCGGCCTGAATAACGTCCCTCAGCTTGGCTTCGTTCACGAATTCTGGCCTCGAACCGTGCTCGTAATCTTCCAAAGTCTCGTCTCCCTCTCGGAATCGTTGAAACCAAGTCTGACACTGCCTGGGAGACAAACTGCTATCTCCGAAAGCAGCACAGAGAGAACGATGCGTTCCAGTAATTCCAAGTACACCAAACCCTTGCTGTTCCACCATACAGTCAATAAGATCTTCTTCCCGTGGGTTTCGGGCCTTGGGGTTGGAACAGCAGGTTCGCCGGCGCTCAGCCACTGTCGTTCTCGCGTAAAGTTGTCGTATGCAATCCATTTCTCATCCGATGTCACGATAGAATCAAGAAATCCGCTATTCTTTGCACGATTCAGGAGAATGCCAGCAATGGAAATGCGGGATGCGAGGTTAGCACCACTGAGTTGATGAGGGACCCATCTTCCACAACGATAGCGGATGAGGGACCCATCTTTCCAATAGCGTGAAGATGGCATTCGATGGTGACATGATCACAATGGAATATTTTCGCAAGATATCGAGCAGATTGGCATGGATCGGCCTGAATAACGTCCCTCAGCTTGGCTTCGTTCACGACTTCTGGCCTCGAACCGTGCTCGTAATCTTCCAAAGTCTCGTCTCCCTCGGAATCGTTGAAACCCGTCTGACACTGCCTGAGAGACAAACTGCCATCTCCGAAAGTAGCACAGAGAGAACGATGCGATTCGGCCACAGACTTTCCAATTTTGAAGTTAAACAGTAATGCTGCTCGTAGCACAAACTTTTGCTCGACCATGATCTAAATAAAAAATATAAGCATTTTTAAATAAAATAAACAACAACCAAAAAATTCAAATGTCGAAATAAATAGCAAACAAATATGCGAACAAAGCATAAAAAAAATAATGCCATTAGCATCGCTCGTTTCTGATAAATGAGAGCTGATACCCATCGGCAGTTTCTTTTGCACCACCCTAATAGTATCCGAAATTCGCCTTTTTAAACGGAAAACTTTCTCCATATAGAAAATTTACTAAAGCAGGTTTTTAGAGATTTAAGTACATTGGTGGTTGGGGGGAACCACTTATATTTTTGACCTTTTCAATTTTTCTGGGATAATTGATAGCGCTGATCAGAAATAGTGTTTTTGTGTAAAGGTTTGTTATGAGTATTATCGAGTTTTTGAAGTTCTAAAGTTCTAAAGTCTTTAGAACTTTAGACGTGTCTTTACTGTACAGTAAAGACACTTCTAAAGTTATATATGTTACGTCCGAATCTGAGGAGATTCATTCTCCTCTGAAACGGACGTCCGACTCTGAGTCGGACGTCCGTTTCGGAGGAGAATGATCATTCTTCTCGGAATCGGACGTCCGATCTTGAGAACAAATAGTTTAAATGCAAAATCCAATGTTTTGAACAAAACAAATGAAAAAGGAAGTTAAA